TCGATTTTATGGTTTTTGTTAGTCAGGGTCTCATGTACTCCAGGCTGTTCTCAAACTTGCTACTTGACTGAGACTGGACTTGAACTCCGGATCTTCCTGTCTCTCCCAAGTGCCAGGATAAATTACAGGCATGTGCCACAACACCTGGCCCTGTGACAAGTTGGTATACTTCACATTATCAGTTAAGACATAATCCCTTATTTGTCATGCTTTTTACCTAAGCCACTCCAGTGATGTTTCAATGGTCTCACTATCAAGTCACTGTAAGTGACCACTTTAAGGTTTACGCAACTGTCAAACATGCCATGTTATGTTTAGAGCTTTTCTTTCTCCACAGTAAAGATAATACATTCACGACCCCAAAAGTCTAGATTAAATTCTTGTTTTGGTTTTCAGAAGCTTGGAAGGAGCACCATTTGGGTACATTTTGTGGTTTTTAGCTATTGCCACACATGGTCCTCTAAAACCTCTAGAAGATGCAATTGGTTTAAGTTAGAATCAGTTGGATTTGTTCCAGCGGTTATTTCAGTTGTGGTCACAACCATCAAATCACTCAAATAAAGGTGCAGGAAGGAAGAACCTGTTTGATGGGCAAGGTGGAAATGAGTATGATGCAGGGAGTCCAGGTGAGTGCCTGAGCAGGATGGTTATCTTAGCAATACAGATGCCAATCAGACACATTTGTTCCCTTAACTGCTCCACAGGTACTGTGGTCAAGACTAAAGGAAGGATAAAGAAACCAAGCCATGATAATTCAGAACAGTTAAACATGCTGGTCTCTTTGAAATTAACTTTTTCAATGTGTGTGGAGTTAGTCAGGCAAAGGAATGGGGCTGGGGAGATAGACAACTCAGAAGACAGTCTGTGTATACAGTAAGCAACCCAGTGTCCTACAAAAATATTTCCATTAAGAGCATGCTCTTTCCTAAATGTAATTATGCAAAATGTTTTCCTCCTTCTCCTTCCCTCTTCCTCCTCATTTGCCTGTTGCAGATAACTACTTTTAGAGAAACAGGAGCCAAGACGATAGCCCTGTACCGCTGTGCCTCTCACAGCCAATGGTCCAGTAGACAACCCTGCCTTCTCAGGTCTGGATACTCACTCAGAAGATCACAGGGCACCCAGGAGAATAACACTTGGTCTTTGATCTTACCCAGCCAGTGGGAAACCATTACTGTAGGAACCACTCTTTTAAAACTAATCACTTGTGAAAAACAGTCAATGGTTCCCAAGTATCACCTTTTGAAAGTAGACTACAATACTACAAAACAGGTGTTCACAGCCTTGGATGGAGGAGTTCCCGCCCCAGAATTTATGATCCCATTGCTTTGGAGGAAGCCCAAGGACTCGAGAGGGGGTGGGGGTTTCCAAGGTACAGCTAAAGTCAAGTGTAACTTTCTGGCCTCCCTAAAGGAGCTTTGGATTCAGTAAGTCGTAAGTGCATCCTGAGAATTTGTCATCCAAGTTCCAAACGAACCTGAAGCCACAGGGTTGGGTCATCACACTGCTCTAAGACATTCAGAAGGGCTGATGATCTGATGATGATCTGACAGAAAACAAGACATACTTCTGGGGACACTATTCTAAGGAGGACAAAAAAAAAAAAAACTAAATTCAAGAACAAAAAAACCTTTCCTGTTCCAGTGTTTGGAAGGAAGTCTGAACCTACTACCTTGTCCAGAAGAGTAACTTCAAGTACCTGTGTCCACCCTCCGGAGGCCTTCCACGCTCACAAACTTCATCTCTGGCCGCAACAGCTCCTTTCCGTCAAATGAGCTGACTGACTCGCTATTCACTGTTAGGCAGAAGCTACCCACCCATCTCCCTGCAGCTCTGACATAAGTCTCTCCTTCCCACACTGGGGCCCACTCCCCCTCTGGATTCCCATCCAAATACTTATTTAAACAAATCCCAAAATTTAAGAATCTGTGATGACGCACTGAAAACAAACAACAATGAAACACTCTTCCTCATGAAACCTGGCAGCAGATGCCTCTAAAATGTCACATTTTTTAAACCTAGAAGGTCTACGGATTTAGCTTCAAGAATTAAGTCAAAGGAACGTGACAGAATTTAATTAGATGAATGTTCACTTCTCGTTATTTTGTGAAGTATCTGTAAATACCTACATTTTCAGTAAGTGCTGATCAGCTAAATGCACACCATTGTAGTGTTATGTGGTCACTAAGGAGGAAGTTGCTGAGGAACACTTGATTAACACTGGTTATACAGCATGGAGGGAGCTGAACAATGGGCCCTGAGCCCCAAGGGCTCTTTATAGAATCTGGGCACACCTTACTAGCCACATGACTTGAAAGCAACTCTTCCGACCTCTTAAAGCCTTAGTTTATACTATTATACTATATGGCTAATAGTAATATCTATCTTACAGGACCACTAGATGATTAAATGACTTAACATGTATTTAAGAACAGGGTTTGACACATTAAAATTAAACTTTCAGTGAATTAAGACTACTGTTAAAAGACTATAAAAATAAGCCAGGCGTGGTGGCGCACGCCTTTAATCCCAGCACTAGGGAGGCAGAGGCAGGTGGATCTCTGTGAGTTCGAGGCCAGCCTGGTCTACATAGTGAGTTCCAGGACAGCTGGGACTACAGGGAGACCGTCTCAAAAAGACCAAGAAAAAAAAAAAGACTATATAAAATGAATCCTGGTGTGGTCTGTACAATTCTGTATTGATGTATGTATTTCAAGTTAAAATTTTCCCCTGGAGGCTGGGCGTGGTGGTGCACACCTTTAATCCCAGCACTCAGCAGGCAGAGGCAGGCAGATCTCTGTGAGTTCAAGTCCAGCCTGGTCCACAAAACATAGTGAGTAGCTGGGGCTACTGGGAGACCCTGTCTCAAAAAAGAAAAAAAAATTTCCCTGGATAGTAAGCTTTATGTTTTTGTTGTTTTCTAAAGTTTCTGTAATTAATATTTATTACTACAAAAGTTTGTATTTTTCCTAACAAAAGTAGCCTAAAAGGGAAGCCGCCCCAAGAAGCTCTTTGGATTCCAGCTCCATTCTAACCACATCTTTCAAGCTGTAGAACATCTGAGTCTTTAAAAAAAGATCTATTTTATTCTATTGCATCAAAATTTTTCATTACGTTTATTTGGGGGGGAGGCATGCACTCTTCTCATGTGAGCATGTGGAGATCAGAAGACAACAGACAGGAATCAGTTTTCTTCTACCATGTAGCTCCTAATGATGAAACTCAGGTTAGTAGGCTTGGCAGCAAGCACCTTTACCTGCTGAGTCTCCTTGCCTGCCTCTATTTCATTTTTGAGAAAGGGCCTGATGTATCCCAGAGTAGCCTCGAACTCACTCTGTAGTCAAGGAGACAGCCTTCAACTCCTAGTCTTCCTGCTTCTACCTCCTGAGTACTGACATTAGAGTTGTGTGTCCCCATCCCCGGGTCTTATGAAGTGCTGAGAATTGAGTCCAGAGCCTCCTCCTTATTAAGCAAACACTCTCCCAGCTGAGCTACATTCCCAACCCAGCATCTTATTCTTAGTCTGATTAGGTCAGTGTTAATGAAGACAAGATCACAAATCCAAATCTGCCCACTGCTCTTGCTCCTCATTATAGTGAGTACTACAGAGATCTGATAAGCTGGTCCCAAAAAGACTGGACATAAGAACTTGAATAGACAGCACAGCCTTGACATAAAATAATCATTGTGTGTGTGTGTGTGTGTTCCGTTGACTGCACCCATATGTATAGATGTAGAGACCATAGGTCAATGTCATATAGCTTCCTCTATCAACTTATTTTGTGAGATAGGGTCTCATACTGAACTTGGACAGCAAGCCTGGGCCCTTCCGGTCTTCCTTCCTGGCAGTGGCATTTCAGGCAGGCACAGCCGTGCCTAGCTTTTTCCATGGGTGCTGGGGATCTAAACTCAGATCCTCATGCTTGGGAAGCAAGGAAGCACTTTCCTCACTGAGCCTTTTTCCCAGTCCTTAAACCAAACATCTTTATGAGCATTCAATAAGCAGCAAAGCATACTCATGCTTGTGGATAAACTGCTTTATATTTGTTTTCATAGTTGTCCTTTAATTTGTCCAATTAGAAAACATTTCTTTCGTGTGTTTCTATAGAGCTTTTTGTATACAATGTACATGGCCTGTTCAACCTTTCTATCTCTCCTGCTAATCCTCTCAAGGCCAATGAAGAACACCTCAAATTTCTCTCCCATATTACAATGAAGAATTACCCACCCAAACAAGTAAAACCTATAAACATAGTCTAAAATTCTTTTTTTGTTTGTTTGGTCTTTTTGAGACAGGGTCTCCCTGTAGCCCCAGCTGTCCTAGAGCTCACTATGTAGACCAGGCTGGCCTTGAACTCACAGAGATCCACCTGCCTCTGCCTCTGCCTCCTAAGTGCTGGGATCAAAGGCCTGCACCACCATGCCCGGCATCTAAAATTCTTTTTGTCCTTGGACCCAAATAAAACTATTGTCACTGACACAATTCCAAAGGTCCAGCTTAGGCTGACATATCTGAAATGTAAAAGCCAAGTGAAGTAGTTCTTTTCTTTGTATCATCCTGTGAACTCTGAAAAGTTAGGACTATTGCCACTTAAAATGGTGACAGCCCTCACGTGCTGAGGAGTTAGCCTCAAACCCTGTGTGCGAAGTAGCTGAAGATTACCATCACTCAGCTCTCAGCCACAGTCATAAACTAAGGACGCTCTAAGCACCAACGTCAGCCCTCAGCCTAGAAATGGTAATTTCAAGTATGGGTATTACAAAAAACAAAGGACGAGGAAGTCCTCTGACTCTCACATGTGTGCCATGGCATATGTGCTCCCCTCGCATAAATGAGTAAATAAATGAATAAATAAATAATACATTTAATTTTAAAAGAAGCAAAATCAAGCTCCTTACCTTCGTGGTTGCTGGAGAAATAGCCTCCTCTCATGTAGGATGACTGGCAGTTAGGCACTTCTGAAAGAGAAACATAGACACGCATCCCATCATCACTAGTTTCTGCAGAAGCAGCACAGAGGACAAGCTTGCTAGCAAAGCCCTAAACCTCATGCTTCAAGGTCAAGTCTTCCGGGTGCTGTTCTACAGAAGGGACACCATTACAATAAACAATGTAGAAAGCAGTATAACTTGCCACCTGAAAATAAGACACTCCTCAAGAGTCACAGGAGGAAAAGAAAAAAGACGTTTTACCTCATAACTCACTCATTTTAAAAATCAGCTAATATCAAATCTGAGAAAGCTAATGGCCAACAAAAAAAAAGGAAGGAGGGAGAGGGGAAGGGGGGAGGGAGGGAAATAGGCAAGCTGGGTGTGGTGGCCCACGCCTTTAAGCTCAGCACTAGGGAAATAGAGGCAGGTGGATCTCTGTGAGTTCCAGGCTGGTAGTAGAGGGAGACCCTGTCTCAAAAGACAAAACAAAAGAATAAGAAGAAATTGGCTTTCAAAGGGGCTTTAGGGTGGGAGGGGGAAGAGAACGGCTTTAGACTTTGCCAGTCTGCTCCCTTCACAACTGGTGGTCACATTCAATTCTGCTGCAAAGGGTCATTAGAGGAACTCAAGTTTTGAAGTCAAGATGAGAAGTGGGCACTGCAGTTAGGCAACCACATTTTCACCATGCTGGATCTGTTATGTCAAAACCAACCCATATTCAAATAATCTCTTCTTCAGGTCCCATGATGGCAAGCTGTCCAGGAGAGGAAAGTGAAGTGGGTTGTGTCTACATGGGACAAAACTTCATTTGGGAATGTGACTCACATCACAGGTTACAGATGCTAACATCTGTTTAGTACCTTTCTTCAAGGGAATGGAGTGGGGAAAAAAACAGTTGAGACAGATTAGAATGTGAATTCCAAAGGAAAAAAATGTTGCCATCACACCTACTCCAGAGAAATTACACATAAAGGCCTTCAAGGGGAATCCAATGGGAATTTTTATAATTTTTCACCACCTAATTTCTCTATCATAATGTCAGGGGTGTGTTCCTCGTCCACCTTCTCAGACTTTCCAATACCCAGTTTCTGTCTGGGGCAATTTATGTGTTATCTCAGAAGACCCAAAGCAGAGTTCCTATTCCACAACACCTGCAAAAGCCACTTAACTTCAAACTACTCCAACCTTCCCCCAGGGCTTAAGAAAAGCACAGAGGGAAAGGCAGGAATCCTACCACTGCTCTGAGCCTTTTCGTATTAATTGGAAAAAAAAAAAAAAACCAGGATGGGAAAATTTTAGTCATTTCTGAACAAAGAAAGGAAAATGAAGAGAAGGAAAAAGTTTTTACATTCTCAAGGTGCAAAATTCCAGTTTCCCTTCTGCTAAGTCTCATCTTAGAGGTTTAGCCCACAAGATACACAGGAGCAGAATGAATTTTGTGGGGAGGGAGCTGGTCTGACAACTCCAACTAGGCAAGAGACATCTTCAATCAAAGAACAGAGGCCCTTAAGGGTCATACCTCTCCCTTGTACAAAGCAGCCTCTGCAGAAAGGAGCACTTCCTCAGCTGCAAGTAGCGCAACAGTCCAGAGAATTTCATCAAGGCAGGCATCTCCAAGGTGTATGTGCATTCTATTAAATAGGTGCTTTCTCAGAAAGTTCCTGTCAAGCACAGAATCGTGCCCTACAGGTAGAAGCTTTTCCTTATAATTATATTGGGAGTTTAAAGAGTCTGATGTGTTAAAAATAAAGCCACAAGGCAGGGCGTGGTGGCGCACACCTTTTATCCCAGCATTTTGGGAGGCAGAGGCAGGCAGGTCTCTGTGAGTTCAAGCCCAGCCTGGTCCACATAGTGAGTTCCAGGACAGCTGGGGCTACAGGGAGACCAAAAAGACCCCCACTTCCAAAAAATAAATAAAACACCCCACAAAACTAGGAACAAGACTGAAATAGGTCTCAAAATGGGCACCATCCTTGACTGGCCCAATCAACAGACTCTACTCAGAAGTATACTTTGTACCACTTAATATAATCTTAGGAGGCAATGTTTCTGTGGATGATGGGCATGGAGTCCAGGATCTAGACAGTAAGCTACATTTCTAGCCTTGACGAAATTCTTACACAATTACCCCCCAAAGCACTATACATTCAGTACTTGTGGTGGTTTGAATGAAAATGTCCCCCATAGGCTCTAAGTGTTTGGACATTTTGTCCCCAGATGATGCCGCTGTTTTGGGAGGTTTTAGAAGGTATGGCTATCCTGGAGGAAGCACATCACTGGGGATGGGCTTAGAGAGTTCTTAAGCCTTGCCAGATCTCCAGTCGCTCTCTTGCTTCCTATGCCTGCGAGATGAGAGCTTAGCTTCCGCTCCTCCTCCAGCCACCTCTGCCACCATGCCTCCCTGCCAAAATGGACTGTAATTCCCCTAGAACTGTAACTGCAAATAAACTCTTCCTTCTATAAGTTGCTTGGGTCAGTGTTTCTATCACAGCAACAGAAAAGTGACTAATACAGTAATTGGTACCAGAGAGTGGGCTGTTGACTATGAAGAACCTGACCATGTGGGGTTTTGGAGGAATGTGGAAGACTTTGGAAGTTTGGGCTAGAAAAGTGGTTGATTGCTGTAAGCAGAGCTTCTAGTAAATACCTAGAAGAAAGCAGTGCTGAGAACAATGTAGTTCCAGAGGGAAATAAGGACTTAAGCAGCACTTGGGATATTTTGGCAGAGTCTGGTTGGAGTCTGCCCTTGACCAAAACCCTTGCCTGAGGCCAAGTTGAAAAGTAATGGACTAACTTTTTGGCAGAAGAAATTTCAAGACAGCCTAATGTAGAAATGGTGGTGTGGCTATTAATGATGAATATTATGCAGATCTACAATGAAAGAGAGCAAATGGGGCAGAAAGAAATAGTTTGGATTAAAAAAAAAGCATTAGGAAGATAAATGTTGGAGCCCTGGCACGTGATAGAGAGGATCCCATTGATAAGGAGATTAAAGTGATTAAGGAGGGGCCTAGAGATTCGAATTTAGACAATGGAGAGAATGCCTCCAGGGCAAGACCACACCCAGTTAAGCCTCCAACTTGTGAAAGGAAAATGTGTGCAGGGACCACTGAAGAGAAAAGCTTCTAAAGTGGATCAAGCAGGCTGGGGTCCATCCCAAACTTGCAGTCAAACTTGGTCTGCTCACTTGTGCTGGCTTTAGAGCTTTAGAGGCATGAAAGGTCAAAGAGCGAAAAGGGTCATCAATTCTTCCTCTGAGGTTTCAGAGAGCCTCAGAGGCCAGGTAGCGTGAAGCAGAAGTGCCCTTGCCTAGAGAAGGCCCTGATAGGCCATTGCGTGAAGCTGTGATTGTGAAGCCTGGTTGGCAATGGAGACCCTAAGAAGTTCGTGATGCCAGAGCTGTGAGGCATCTGCCAAGAAGACCTGCATACAGGGAGTGGTACCAGCACAAGAGAGAGATGTGTGTTGCACGCAGCAAAGCTAGAGAGAGTGAACCATCTAAGCCCCCTGGAAGTAAAGTCCCAGAAGTTGAACGTGGAGCTACTGGATTTGGTGTTTGCCCTGTTGGTTTTTAGTCTTGGTCCAGTATTTCCTTACTATACCTCCATTCCTCCCTTTTGGAATGGTAATGTGTATTCTGTTCCACTGTATATTGGGAGTATGTAATTTGTCTCTAGAGGCTTAGAGTTAAGATACTTACCTGAGTCCATTTTGGACTGTGGACTTTTGAATAGTATTGAGACTGATAATGACTATGAGGACTCTATCAGGGCTGTTCATGTGAGATTTTGGATTGAGAATCTGTGGGTTCTGGTCAGCTGGGTCTGAAGAATCAGCTGTGATTAAGAAGAGATCAGAACCTGAAGCAAAACCTTTGCTTTACTGAGACAATTGATGCTGGTCAGCTGGGGCTGAAAAATCAGCTGTAAGTAACAAGAGACCAGCATCACTGTGGTGAAATCTCCTGGGAGGTCCCTACAAGGGCCAGGGGGTGGAATGTGGTGGTTTGAATGACAATGTCCCCCATAGGCTCCAAGTGTTTGGACATTTTGTCCCCAGATGGTGGCGCTGTTTTGGGAAGTTTTAGAAGGTATGGCTATCCTGGAGGAAGCACGTCACTGGGGATGGGCTTAGAGAGTTCTTAAGCCTTGCCAGATCTCCAGTTTCTCTCTTGTTTCCAGTGCCTGCTGGAAGATGTAGAGCTTAGCTTCCACTCCTCCTCCAGCCACCTCTGCCACCATGCCTCTGCCAAAACGGAGTGTAATTCCCCTGGAACCGTAAGCTCAAATATACTCTAACTTCTATAAATTGCTTGGGTCAATGTTTCTATCACAGCAACAGAACAGTGACTAATACAGTAACACAGTAATACTGATCAGACAGACCAACCAACGTGAGTTGAAGAAACCTACGCTAGGATTTTCTACTAACCTGAATCAACGCAGTAATCCCGGGGTTCCTGCTTGATTCCCATTGGTGACTGGAACCCATGTGTCGGAGGACCCGGCATCCCGGGAACCCCATGTTCATAGAGTGGGTCATGGTATTCCTGCTTGAATCCCTGAAGTGGTGGGGGAGCTGCAGGGACAATAGGTTCTGACATTTGCCGATGGTAACTGGGACGATTATCTCCAGGAACCCCTGACTGAGGTGGGAAGGGGTGGCAGGGTTCAGACAGCTGTCTCTGAAATCTGTAGGAAGGAAAAAGTTACAATGTTTAAGACAAAAAGCAACAAAATATGATTTAGCATTCAACATCGAAAGATTAATTTTTTAAAATTATTGTGTACATATATGATGTGTGTGGGTAAATACATGTGCTGTGGCATGTAGAGGTCAGAGGACAATTTTATGGAGTCTTTCCAGCTTTCCATGGGCTCCAGGGCCGAACTCAGCTCTCATGGGGTTGACAGCAAGTACCTTTACTGACTGTGCTCATGAATTTTTATTTATTTATTACTTTTTGATCTTTTGAAGTAGGGTCTCCCTGTAGCCCCAGCCTGTAGACTTGGCTAGTCTTGATCTCACCAAGATCGTCTGCCTCTGCAGCGCTGAGATTAAAGGCATGCGCCATCACACTTGCCTTCATGAATTTTTGAAAAGAACCAACAACCTACTTGGTATTGGTACATATTATAAAACTACATTAGTTATAATACAAGGAATGAAAAATTGATTGGCAGATGAAAGGAACTGGATAAATTTCAAAAACAGTCAAATATATTGCAAAATTTACTACCCCTAAAACTTAGCACTAGTAGGTTAGATCCCATTTTACACTACATGCCAAAGTAAATTTTATATGGATAAAAGATTTCATACTATGAAGTAAACACCTATGAAAACTTAATTCTGGGATGAGAAAAAGCTTTCTCAAGTATTATACTAACAGCAGAAACCATCAAGATAAACATGGAACTGAGAAGGAAAAAATAAAAACTCCAACAGTTAGAAAATGTCAGAAACGGAGGCTAGAAAGATGGCTCAGTGGTTAAGACCATGGGCTGTTCCTGCAGAAGACCTGGGTTCAAATCTCAGCACCTACACGGTGGCTAACAACCGTTTCTAACTCCAGTTCCAGGGGACCCAATGCCCTCTTCCGTCCTCAGACAATGCAAAACATGGGTGCATTTACATACATGCAGCTTACTACACTGATACACATAAAACAAAATGAAAAAAAAAAAAAAAAGCAAAAAAAAAAGCCCAGAATCATAAAACCAAGAGTAAAACCAGGGAAATGTTCTTAAAAGATGTATCAAAGCCCAGCTTGATAGAAAGCTTTTAGAAAACAATAGAAGATCACCGTCTTGGTGGAAAAAACAAACAAACAAAAAAACACAGGCAAAGGCATGAACAGGAAAATCTTTGAAGAAACACTAAGCATGTCTTTAATCCCAGAACTCAGGAAAGGTAGAGGCAGGCAGTGTTATGAGTTTGAGGCCAGCCTTGGCTACAAAGTGAGACCCTGTCTTAAAAAAGAAAGTTGGGAGCCAGGCAGCAGGATGGTGGCGCACACCTTTAGTCCCAGCACTCGGGAGACAGAGGCAGGCGGATCTCTGTGAGTTCAAGGCCAGCCTGGTCTACAGGACAGCTGGGGCTACGGGGAGACCCTGTCTCAAAAAAACAAACAAACAAAAAAGGAAGGGACTGGAGAGATGGCTCAGCGGTTAAGAGCATGACTGCTCTTGCAGAGGACCCAGGCTCGACTCCCAGCACCCACATGGTGGCTACAAACCATCCTTAACTCCAGTTACAGGGGAATCCGATGCCCTCTTCTGACCTCCGTGGCATTGCACGACACGGGTGCACTCACAAACATGCAGGCAATACACTCATACACATTAAAAAAAAGAAAGAAAGCAAAGAAGCTGGGCATGGTAGTACATGCCTTTAATTCCAGCACTTGGAAGGCCAGCCTGTTCTATATAGTGAGTTCCAGGCCAGCTGCAGCTATAGGGAGACTCTGTCAAACGAAACAAAAACAAAAGGATAACTAAGTAACTAAATAAAAAGCAAAGAAAAAGAAGTAATGGCTAGAAACAAAAAAAAATTGAACTCCACCAGCCATCAAAAAAATGACAAAATTTGGGACTGGAGAGATGGTCAGAGTACAAACTGCTCTTTCAGAGGACCTGAGTTTGTTTTCCAGAACAGACACTAACAGCTCACAACTGCCTATACCTTGAGCTCCAGAAGGCTGACAAACTCTTCTGGCCTCCATGGGTACCTGCTCACAGACATAAATAAAAATAAATCCTAAAATAAAAAAGATAAAGTTGGGGGGGGCCAGATGGGTAAACGTGGGTGATTTGGGTGGGTGGTTTGGACCCCATCAGGGTAGCTGCTCAGAGCTCAGCAGACCACCAGAGAGTGCCAGGTTCTGGCCTCCCTCTGGCCTCCAACTATCAGAGGGCCTGAGAACCCAGGAGACTGCCTGACAGCCCCCAGACCTGGTGGTGAGCTTCCCCTAATTATACTACCATCCACCTACCCTGGATTTTGTGAGGCTCCTCTGAAGGCCCCAGGGCAGATCTGGCTTTGGTAGGCTAAGGCTGGGATCTCAGCAGACCACCAAAGACATCTGGTCTCCCTCTGACCTCCCTCTGGCATAGGGTTTACAACTCACAGGACTGCCTGAGAGATCCTGGATCCTGCTTCCACATGGTGAAGGAAGTCTGAGTGTACCTGACTGGAACCTGAATTGGGCTTCTGTGGGTACCCCTGAATAGCTGATCTGAAGCCATCAGTTCCCTCCAAATTAAACTGAGAGACCCCGAACCCTGTACCAACCAGCTTTACATAACCAATAAAGAAAGTATCAAGACACCCCAATAATACAAACAGAAGCATACTTCAACCTAATTCTCATATCAGAACCACAAACAACAACAGAAATTCACATGCCAAAACCACAACGAAAGAATAATGGAAACCCCAGCAAAGCCCACCAATCCTGTAGAAGAGTTCTACAAGGAGAACCCCCTAGAGATAATCCAGGACACTGAATTTAAAAGAACAATCATAAACATGATCAAAGAAGTCAACGAATTTACAAAACACATGAACAAACAAATCAAAGAGCTAAAAGAAGATAGGGATAAACTTATTAATGAATTCATAAAAGAGAAACATTGAAGAAAACTCAGGCAGAAATGAAGAAGGAAGTGAAAAACTCAGAAAGTCAACTTGAAACAACAGGGAAAAGCCTCACCACTAGAATGAATGAAATGGAAAACAGAATATCAACACTAGAGGATAAAGTTGAAGAATTGGACCACTCAAGCAAAGAGTATGGAAAATTTAAAAAAACACAGGAATGGAACCTGCAAGAGATGTGGGACACCATGAAAAGACCAAATCTACGGATCAAAGGAATAGAGGAAGAAGAATTTCAGGTTAACAATGGTGTTATTTTAAAACAGGATTGTAGAAGAGAATTTCCCAAAATTAAAGAAAGACATCCCCATCATACAAATACCCTGCAAGAGATGTGGGACACCATGAAAAGACCAAATCTACGGATCAAAGGAATAGAGGAAGAAGAATTTCAGGTTAATAATGGTGTTATTTTAAAACAGGATTGTAGAAGAGAATTTCCCAAAATTAAAGAAAGACATCCCCATACAAATACAGGAAGCACATAGAACACCAAATAGACAGGATCAGAAAAGAAACTCCCCACAACATATCATAGTAAAAACACTAAATGTACAGAATAAAGAGAGAATACTGAAAGCAGCAAAAGAAAAACAAGTCACATACAAAGGAAAGCCCATCAGAATTACAGCTGACTTATCAATGCAAACTATGAAAGCCAGACAAGCCTGGACTAAGGTATTTCCAGTTCTACATGACAATAGATGCCAGCCCAGAATACTATACCCAGCAAAAATGTCTGTTATAGTTGAGGGGGAAAGAAAAATCTTCCATGACACAAAAAGCCTGAAAGAAAACATGTCCACAAAACCAGCCCTTCAAAAAATACTTGAAGCAATACAGAGAGAGGAGAAAGAAACAACTATACCTTTGGGCAACAAAAGAAAATAAAGATATAATCTAGGAAACACAAAATTACACAG